AAAACGAGTAGACGTATGCCGGTGGGCTCCGGAACAACAACACAGTCTGTAAATAAGACTCAACAGAGCTGAATGAAAAACTTAATAAAGATAAGGATTTTTTTTTTTTGCTTGCATTCTCTGCTCATCTATTTTCTTTCTTGAGGAATAAAAAGCCTCTTTGCAGTGGGATTATATTCTACCAAATGGCAAACTGCAAAATTTGCAAAGATCAGTGCAAAGAATTATTTTTACATAAGGCTTTGCAGAGCATTTGCAAAACAAATAAATGGTTTTAAAGAGATTATGCAGGTAATTTGTTCCGTTAACAACCAGGATAAGGAAATCAAGACATCTATGACTCATCCCCTGTCTTCCAAAAATACCCAGGTAAGAGCATGATGTTCGTATCATTTTCTGTTTCTAGTTCTCACTACATGTGGATTATTGCCACTTCCACCATTTCTTTCCCCACTTTCACCCTCACAGCCTTTTCCTTTGAAACGTCAGATCGCTGCCATTGTATCATCTCACTAATCTTGCGGAACTGCTTCAGCAAAGCTTTCTTGGCAAACATGAGCCAGCCAGCCGGCCAAGAGAGGCTTCTGTTGATTCCTTTGCACTCTTGAATTAATATTTGCACGACAAGAAAACTGAAGCAGATGTCACCCATGAGGCGATTCTTCTCGAGTTTATCTGTGGTGAGCCGCTCTTATATGGGATTAAATAGTAATCCAACTAACCAGATTTGAACCGTCGCGATAGTCTGCTCGACTGAAGGGGAATCCTTTAATCTCTGACTGGCGAATTCCTGAAAACCAAAAATGAGGGCTTGCATGCATTGATTGGGTGGATGTACACCTAGTGTCAACATAATTAAGGATATTTTAAAAAATTTAAAAGTAAAATAATAATATTTTAAAACAATCCTATTGTAGCCCCATAATCTCCAGTGTTTAATTGGGATGTAATTTAGTGGAGAAAAAACTCACTGCACAAGGTTGAAACATGCAGAAAGAAGGATTGCTTACCTTTTTCCCAATCTGTCAAGATTATCCAGCGTTCTGTTGAAACACTTCTTTATTTTCTAAATTTTTCAGAGTGAGATTATGCTAACGTAATAAACTTATACATTGTGCACTTAAGGATCCTAATAAATGTGGAAGACCTGTTTAAATTTGCTTTTTCTCTCAGATATGGATGCAATTTTGCTTGGATTTTTTTCATTTTTTTATGCCATAAAAAAAAACATTTATATGCTTTCACTGAATCAATAATGCAGACTTTTACTCTAGCTTTTAAGGCACAGCACTGCATAATAAAATGAACTCACATCTTTCAAAATAGCCCATATTGAAACCAAGTAACCTGATTATTTCTGATGAACACAGTAAATCAAATCCTACACACTCATTTCAGCAGCAGTAAACAGACAAATTGAAAAGAAATGAGTCAGGGCATCATTTTTAGACAAATGTTAGACTTGCTTAGGGGCCAGCAGATCCCAATGCACACTTTTGTGTACAAAAAATAGATTTGTGAATTAAACTTACATCACCTATTAAAGTATTCATACCCCTTTAATTTCTTAATATATTATTACAATACGACCACTAAGTCAACATTTGAATTGAATTTTATGGGATAAACCAATACAAAGTAGCATAATGTGAAAAGGGAATGTTTTACCAATACACATCTGAATTGTGGTATCCATATGTACACACCAAGAACCTTTTGGCAAGTTTTTGCTTGCATTCTTGGTTAGAGTTACACATATTGCAATTTTGCACCATTTTGTGTGGGTGTGTCACATGAAATCCAAATTAAATACACTGAGACCATTTTTAGAAAGCGTTTTTCAAATGTCAGTAATGAAGAGAAGAGTCCTTCAGAGTAATTTAGAACCAATATTCACTGTTTTCATTAAGCTTCAATAAGAAAAGGTCAGCTTAACATTATATTTCTGAAAACCTCAGCAGATACTGAAATACTCCGACCTTTTATTTCTTAAACTAGAGATCCAAAAACAATGCACATACCTGTGTTTGGCAGGGAATTCCCTATAATTCAGAAATTCCCATTTCTTTGGAGATGGATGCATTCCCTCTCTCAGCGAGAAGCTAATTTGGGCTTACACTGATTAAGCTGTCCATCGTACCACCAGGAGACTTCTGTGTATGTCTGATCCAGTGTGTGCCTGAGCAGAATCCCTAACACCGTCAGCAGAGCCGCCGGTTCACAGCGAGGAGGGACATGAAAGAGCTGTTAACCGGTGACATAGCAGGATTACAGATGGGATTCTGTCAACAATTAACAAGGACATAATTGCAAGACAAGCGCAGTGAATTCTGCCATCAGCCCGGTCCTCAGGTGCATAGGACGGAGAAAGTAAAAACTAGCTAATTGAACAGACTAAAAAGTAGAACTGACTAATGAGACATGATGGGGGAACCTTTTTTGACTCATGTCAGCACTTTAGCCAGCTTTATGACTTTGATTAAGGGAAAATATTTCACAGATGGAGGCTGAAGCGGCTGGTCTATTAAACACTGGTTTTATAATCAAGTCTTAAACTCAGAAATGTGAAAACATAATTTGAAATATTTAAGTTTAAGTTTTCAGTCAAGTGTGTGCCACACAAATCTAAATAAAAGCTTGCATGAAATCCCATGATGCGTTGTAATATGATATAATATTGGCAGGGTGGCCTGCCCTCGCTCTCTGTCGAATAATCCCCATATCAGCTGATATCCTAGAGGATCTCAGAGGTTGTGAACACTAGTTAAGCTGACAGGAGCAGCTTTGACACTTAACTCCAAACTAGTGGTCAGATGGCTTGTGTCCATGGGGAGAAAGAGGACTGACAAGGATCCCTGATTACAGCCTCAGAAGGTTTTACAGCATTCACACCGACACATTATGTTCCCCTGAAATCCTGAAAAAACATTTCACTGCTCAAACTTGCTGCTCAAAACTGAATTTCACATTATGTTTTCTTTAACTCCACTCCCAGTACTGCACTGTGCAAACCCCCTTGGGTTATCTTTAATTCTGCTTCCTAGGAGTGAGATCTTGCTGTTGTCTAGAACTAGAAGTTCTTCCTGCTTTGAAAATTCCTTTGGACTTTGTCTTCTAAAATTGAATCAATACTAACATTTTGTTGCATACTGCTTCCATTTTGTATCAGTTACAAAAACATTATTATTTTTTGTTGTTGTTGTTGAAGTACATTTATCAATTGCTAACAAGTTTCTTTTGTTTTAAATTCTGGAGATTACCTCTAGAGTAAATAGCATTTCCAAGCAGGTAAAGGAAAAAGCAAATGTTTTTTTATTTTTTTTCTATTACTATAAGTGTAAAACTGGTGGATGAGAAAATATAAATTTTGCTGCCTGTGGCATTTTTCCCCTTTAGAGGAAGTTCATTGAGTGTGAGTTTCACTCCTGGACTCTCTGTGTGAATCATTTGGCCAGTTCTCATGCATCAGAATAAAACACAATCACGGTCTGCAAAAATCTATTTATCTGAAGAGGAGCATGGGGACTGCTGTCAACAACACAAGTGGGGATCAATCAATCCTGCTTTCTGGCAGAACAGGAAAGGCAATGTCCAATTATTTAAATATATATATATATATATATATATATATATATATATATATATATATATATATATATATATATATATATATATATATATATATATATATATATACATATATATATATATATATATAATATATATATATAATATATATATAATAATATATATATATATACATATATATATATATATATATATATATATATATATATATATATGTATATATATATATATGTATATATATATGTATAATATATATATATATATATGTATATATATATATATGTATATATATATGTATATATATATATATATATTATATATATATAATATATATATATATATATATATAAACACGAAAGAGCAGGATTAAATCTTCTGACCCTGTTTCTGGCTCTCGTATCGTGCTGCTGTTTTAACGTGTCTCACGTTGGCGCCCCCCCTCGGGACAACCGTCATGCTTCACTCCCCCCCAACCCCTCATATTAAATGCCAGCCACTGCGTCTGTCTGCACCAAAAACAACTCGCTCCTCTCTGATCAGCATGGGGAAGAGAAAAAAAAAAAAAAAAAAAACAGCGTGAAGCCCCGCCATCATATTTTACTACTGTGGTCGCTGCATGTGTACCACATTTACGCGCAGAGGGGAAAGCGCCTCCGAGGATCTCCGACGCATCATTTTGTTTATGAAAAACCTTTTAAAAATCTGTTTGGTGGAGGGAGCGTTGAGGTGGTGGTGGTGGGGGGTGGGAGGGTCAGGTCTGTGGAGCGCCGCAGAGGAGTCGATGACATCATGTCTGTGGGGAGAGATGTAGTTTTGCGAGCCGTGAAACCAGATGCTCGTCTGGCCTCTGGTTGGTGTATGCGGAGGGAGAGAGAGGGTGAGGGGGTGAACCGAGGCGACTGTACACTGTGATGTGAACAGCGCGTTTCGCTCCCTCTCTTACACACACGTACGCGCACACACACACATACGCAAACGCACACACGCATTGCAAGCTTTCAGCTGGCCCTCTGTTTTTTTTTTTTTTTTTTAACAAATAGCCGCCTTCTCCCCTTCCTCACACAGCGCAATGGCGCATTCAGCAATCTCAGTGCAATTTCTGTCCAGATGTGTGGACAAGTCTGAGAGCCCGAGAGGACAGGAAATTTGTAGCCGAGAGCGTTAAAATCCGAGGCGAGGCGTACATGAAACGAAATGCAGACATGTGCACAACAGTGGAGACTGGGAGGCGAGCGTAATGGGCTCACTACGGTGCTGATTTCCACCCAAGTCATGAACACACAGGACCCAGGTTACACCAGGTGACAGCGGTGGAGACGGAGGTGGAGGATAGACTTATCTTTGAAGGAGTTGATGAGTTTGTTTTTTTTTGTTGTTTTTTTTTTTAAGTTTAAGCTAAAAGTTTGCCCTACCTCCACACTTGTCCCATCTGAAAGATGTGAATGATGGTCTGCCAGACCCAGACAGACAGGCGACAGCACCTGTCCCTCTGGAAACCAGCCGTAGCCCTCCGACTGCTGAGTCCCTCCACGGAGCCCAATCCGCCGCCGGTGTAATCCTGCACAAACCACCTGAAGCTCAGGATCTGGACCAGGACCGAGGGCACCAGCACGAAGAACAGAGTCAGGCTGGACCACAAGAAGTTCCGCTTGTGGTAGTAGTCGGCGGCCAGACACAGATCGGTGCCCACGTCCCAGAAGAACACCAGCAGCGCCAGGACGATCCACAGGCAGTCCAGCCAGAGGCGCTCCTCCTGCGGTGGTCGCCCCGCATCCCTTCCCTTCCCTCTCCCCTTCCTCCTGAGGTAATGCAGGCAGGCGCTCCGGCAGCCCCAGTAACACGACGAGGTGTTGCAGCAGTGGCAGATGTGGAAGGAGCTGCCGTCCCGCGCGTCGTCCTCTCCCGTCCCCACCACTTCGTCCAGGTTGTGCAGCTGGGCGAAACCGGTGACGACCCCGCGACCATCGGATTTCGCTGCCATCTTTCTCTCTGATGTTCCCACCTCCTCCTCCGGCTTCCGGGGTTCGTGACGACACTTCCCTGACACCTGTTTTGCTGCACCCCAAATGTTGGCTCCATCTAAAAGCGGGGTGTCAGCGCGTCGCCGCCGCGGACTCCGTCCCCAAACTGCGCGCCAGCGTCACGGGAGACGCAGCGCATCTTTTTCTCTCTCTCTCTCTCTCTCCCCCAACGCCCCCTTTTCCCTCTCCACTGCAGTCCGATCCCCCACCTGGTCACGTTAATCTGTCTGTGTAAAGACTTTCATTTGGAACCCCTCGCGTCCAGCTGTGGTCCAACACCGTCTCTGCTCAGTTGTCTTCCATTCCGCGCTGTCATGTTGTTTTCCTCCTCTGCTGCTCGCCTCCAGCTGCAAGCTGCCATGAGCAGACCGCCAGTCCCTCCACTGTCCCACGCCGACGTAATTTATGCTCCCCACCTCTTCCCTACTCTCTTATACACAGACACACACACACACACACACTCACACGCACACGCAGACACTCAGCACCTACCACCCAGCTTGGTTGCCATCTAGCGTCTCCTTTGAGGCTCCCAAACAGCCTCTGTCTGAGGACTGCGTGACGCAGAGTCATCACTGACAGAACAGAATGATTCTTTTGTCGGGAATCTTGCCGCTTGAAAGGAATGCATTCAACAAAGGGGTTTCCTACGAGTCTGCGTCCTTTTCGGTTTTGAACCGAGAGTCAAAACAAAATCATAATACTTTGACATGCCAGACGTGTGCGTTCTTCTGGCTGTTTGCAGCGCGTTTAGTTTGGTTGTATGAGTGCAACGTGAAGCTTCATCCGAACTTCTTTTGTGATCCACGTCAGGTTTTCCTCTCGGATTTTTGTGCGTTTGCCCTTTTCCATTTAACATCAGCTGCGCTTGCCTGTCATTGCTCAAAGTAAGAATCCCCTCACAACATTGCTGCCCCCACCGTGTTTCCTCATACTTGTGTGTTTGTGTTTGTGTTAATGTTATCAAATTATTTTTCCCCAGATCCTCCAGGGTTTTCACGAGACTTTTGGTTGATTGTCTGATTAATACTTTGTGCGCCACGGTGTTGGTGGAGTTCAGGTTGTGGCATACTCAATTTTTGAATGACTGGTTCTCCCCGAGCAGTTCAAAGGTTGTGGAGTTGTTTGTATTACTTTTAAAGTTCTTAACAAATGCATCCACGACATGTCTGCTGTGTCACTTGGTTATTCTGATGCTGCTTGTTGATTGATGTTCAGTGAAAAACCTCTGAGGCCTTAAAAACACTGTATTTTAGAATAAAACACACTCCAGTAAACTCTATTTCTTAATAAACAGTGTTTATTCATAAAGTAGTTATTAATAAAATGACTACTGAAGTCTGTTGTTGCACTAGATTTTATATAGGGGTTGTCAAAGCAACAGAGACTGAACATAAGTATGAGGATTTGAGTTTTTCTGTGTGTTTATTTTAGGTTTCTGTGTCTGTTGAGTCTGCTGTTGTCCTGCCTGCCTCTTGATTGTTCCCTGATTACCTTCTGTGTGTTTAATCCCACCTGTGTTCCCTGTTCCTTGTCGGGTCCTTGTCTGTCTTGTCTCGTTGTCTTGGCAGCCTTACCAGTGGCTACCAGTTTTTTTTTTTTTTTTGAGGTCTTGGCCTTCTTGCTCAATCTGTGCTGCCTGGATTATGGACTCTTGTATTTCTGACAGCATCATTTAAAATCAGCATTTTCTTCATTTCAATCTGGCTCTGCTGCATCTGTCTCACCACCTTCACCCCACATCATGACAAAGAGGCTTGTTTGGAAACGTGCATTTAAAAAAAAAAAATTATATTTATGTGTTGCTTTGTTTCTCAGTCCAATGCTAAATTTATATGTTATCCAATCAGAGACTACATTCTGATTTGTTGAGCGCCCCCCCCCTCAGTGCCTCTCCTTCTCCAGCTTTTGCTGAGTAGTGCAGGAATGAGCGAAGAGGTTGTAAGCCTGTGATTAGACTGTGCCCACAGAGCTGCCATGAAGGCTCATATAAAGCATGAGACTGATTGGTTCATTCCCGCCTCAGCCTCGCTGCAGCTCTGCTGTGCTCTGCTCAGCAGGCTCTGTTCTGCCTGTTTGAATGTGATGGGAGCTGTCCAGTGCTGAACCCTGACAGCTCTCCGTGCTTTCTGTAGCTCCTCGTTAGAAATACGCCTCGTTAAGTGTGTCATGTATGTTTCAGTGTACAGATTCTTGAGAGATAAGATTGGAAGTTCAAGATTCCTGTGAAAGATGTCTGCGCTCCTTAAATGGCACAGCATTTCTGCCAAGTTTTCATCTTCCAAAAATAGTACAGATTTAACAATGAGACTGTGTAACCTTTTAGTTCTTGCATGTGCTTTATTTTTGCTGGCTGAAGCGACATTTCACAAAGTAGAATTTACCCCAAGTTTGGCAGTTTCAGTAGCTTCGGCTTTGAGTTCTTGTTTTAAAGCTTGGATTGTTTTTGAACAAGAGCAAAACATCTGTTTCAGTAGCTTTCACATCACCTGTACCAATCTGTTCTTGAAGTCCTTTTCTTTCTTTTTTTATCTCAGGAGGTTGTCTCTCAAGTCCAATAGTTATTTTTTTAGTGGTTACCATTTTCAGAAGAGATGTAAAACGGGATATGTCAAAAGAAAATACCCAACACATGACACCAAATAAGGAACCCGTTGGCAGAGCTTTCTTTAATGTCTCATGTATTTCTCTGAGGCAACATGGGTCTGAGCTTGTTTTTGCAGTAATCAATATGTCCCTGACTTTGAATTGCAAAAGATTATTTGCACTCATCCATATACGTTTGCTCCTGAACAAATAAACGTTAGCACGTCAATTAAGAACCTTTGCAATGTAACCTTCTACCAAGATAATTGCTACATAAAATTGAGGCTTTCACTTTGGTAGCTGTCACATTTTTCACTGGCTGTCCAGTTTCTCTGGTATCTCATTTTCAGAGCTGCATCACTTCACAGAGATGTTGTGTGTGCTGTTTTAGTCGTGTGTGCTAAAACAGCACACACGACACAGCTCAAAAATTAAAGACATTATGTGATCTGCCAGAATCCTGTGATTCAACGTGCCTAAAATATTTTCATATGAAGAGGAATGCAAACAAAAAAAATGTTTTGCCTGGTCAAACCAAAGGAGTGAATCATCACCGAGTTGGCCTTTATCTGAATCAGAACAAAACTCTTATGTGAGTAATAATGTAGGTTTGGAGGGTGATTAAGAGTGCTGAAGATCAGTAGACGATGCTCAGAGCTAATCGGTTAATGTCAAACTCTCATCTGCAATGAGAACGCTGAGAGACTGGTGGAAAACATCATTCATGATAAATGTTTGTTGTTCATTGGTGTCTCTAAATGCAATTTGTACATAAAGTATAGTTTCTAACATACAAGGCTTGTAAAGTATTTCCCTCTTTTATTGTTTTAAAAAAATCAGTCATGATCAACAAAATGTGGCTTTTTTTGGCTAAATTTATTACTAAAATACATTTTAATGTTGAAGTGTGGAAAGCTATTTCAGCCAAAACTAACTAACTAACTAACTAACTAACTAACTAACTAACTAACTAACTAACTAACTAACTAACTAACTAACTAACTAACTAACTAAAAAACTAAATGGCTTCTCATGCAACGTATCGTATATAAATAAATAACTTTTATGAAACAAACGCTTTAAAAAACGTAAATCTATATTCTGCATTTATATGTCGCCACCTAGTGTTCTTTCTTTAAGCTACAAGATGCAGTAAACATTAATGCGAGTGATCGTTTCTTATGTTAGAGTGTTAAAATTACATATTCTTGTAATATGCAATGTATTACATAGTACATATTCTTGTAATGTAAACACATAGGACAGGGTCTGACTCTGATCTGACGCCTATTCAGAACAAGAAGGCGACGCACTTATCCGGTGCTAAATTTATCGAGTCAGTTGTTTCCGCACGGCGTGTTTTTGCGAACGTACTCGTCTCGCCCAGCTGCTTAATAGAAAAATACCAGGTAACTGTGTTAGAAACATTTCTGTAGCGTCGATGTAAAACGTCTTTCGTTGTTCTCTGTATATGCGAAGCATCTAACGAAGTCATTTTACCGTTTATATAGAAGTTGCAGTCTTTACTTTTGGTTGAATTTGGTTGCGTTATGATCAACCAGCTAGCTAATGGTAGCTACCTTACTTCCTGAGTCTGGCTAACCCCCCAGCTAGCATAATGTCATTGATGTCTTGTCGACATCGACCACGACACTTCATATGTTTTTGATCAATGACATCAGCTCATAAATGTCTTAAAACAGCCTGGTCCCCAGTGTTGCCTCCGTATTCGTGACGTCTCTTCTGATATCTCTAATCGTAGATCATGGAGTTTGCTGAACTGATAAAGACCCCCAGAGTGGACGGGGTGGTTCTGCACCGACCCTTTATGCCCACGGTGGAGGGAACTCTGTGTTTAACCGGCCACCATCTGATTCTCTCCTCCAGACAGGACAACACAGAGGAGCTTTGGCTGCTTCATTCAAACATAGACTCCATAGAGAAAAGGTGATATCCGCACTACTGTTGGACTTCATAGCTTTTCCGTATTGATGTTGTGAACTGACTGTATAAAAAAAGGTTTCTTTGGTTTCACCAAACAATGTCGAAATAAACAGGTCTTCAAAACATTTTTACAAAAAAAATCTGAAAAGTTTGACACGCTATTTGTAGACCTCTAACTAAAATCTCGTGCAATCAATTGTCTTCAGGAGGTACTTAACTTGTAGAAATTTGTGTAATTGAAAACCAACACTGCATAGCAATCTAAAAACGCCATCCTCATGATGAAACATTGTGGTAACAACATAATTCTGTGGGAATGTTTTTCATCAGCAAGACGAGGAAAGCTGGTCAGAGTTAAATACAAGGTTTTCCTGGGACAAAAGGCTGCACAAAAGATGTCCAGCCAAGGTGTGAACATAAATTCACACCTTGTTTCAGATTTTGTTTTCTGTGCGTTTTCCGTTTTTTCTATCATCAATTTGGTAAAAAAGGCTGCAAAAATGACCTCAGTGCACTTGATTTTGCAGGAGTAAATATTGACATAAATTACCAATAATGAATGCTGTAATACTTAAAAAAAAAAAGCAGTGTAGAGAAATTACTTTAAATCCTTCACTTCCTGTTATTATTATTTTTTACCACTTTGGTCCATGCATACTGGTTAAATGTTCTCAGTATGGTGGAAAATAAAAGCTCAAATAGAGTACACAAAGAAGGGTTTGAGGAATGTTTATCACCATGTAAGCTTAGACTATATGACACTAATTAGTCAGTGTCATATAGTCTAAGCTATATGACACTCACATCCAGGTGGTGACTCATCAATATCTATACTGGTTGGAGAACCTGAATTTGTTCTGACAGGATATTTTAGTCTAAGTCAATCTTAACTGTTTGTCTTCTAGATTCGT